TGTCAGGAATACACATTTGTATTACTGACACTATAGTGTTCTTTTAAGGTGGCTTGTAGTTTTTAACACCTTGTTTGTAATTTAACAGGCAAAATTTGGAGGCATACATTCCTCATACAAACACAATTCACACACACACACCCTTATTCATACTGCCATGCTAAACAAACACACGTATAAATACTACCCTACTTTAAAAAAACAAAAACATGCATTTAAATATACTCTGAATCCTCATATCCTGACACTACACACAGATATACATTAGGGCTCACAGTAAAGATACACACAGAAATATAAATTCAATTTACATGCACATACAATCAAATACATGGTACATCTACACCAGCATATATATTGGGCTGCAGGGGGCCCAAGTCATAATTTTGCCAGGGGGCCCAGGCCACTGTCAGTCCCTCCCTGGATCCCAATAAGGTTAATGTGGGATCCAACACAAATAAAGAATTCGAAAAATGGCTAAATTCGCTCACACTAGCTTAAAAAGCAGGAAGGATATATTCAGTGATTAAACATTTGCGTTTCCATTACATAATGCAAGGCTGCCAACTCAGGCTCTTAAGCCAGATCTGTGGCACTCGATAACATTTATATGACCCCCGCTTTCCTGCATACCCCATAGTCCTTATAACATGACATCATTGTTCTAGCAGGGTCAAAGCCCCCTCAATGTGTAAATTATATTGAACATCACCCAACTGGCACATAAGTTAAGTGGCTAGCATCAATTCAGAGATCGGGAAGCCATGGCATGTTTTTGTCGTTTATTTTCTGTGTATTTATTCTGATTTGTATGTTGTGATTTACAAAGCCTGAGTCACTGCCAGCTCCTTCCATTCTTCAGTTTTATTACCATTGAAGAATTGTAGCAAAGTACTCTTATTTAAGGACTACTAGAACCAGCTGTTCACCATGTGGACAGTTTCTTTGTGAGTGGGAGAAATCTTTCCTAATGCTCCTATTTGTTTTCCCCACATAAATCTAAGCTTGCGTAAACTCTTTGCTCACGCCACGCAGCCATCTGTGAAAGTGTTGGCTTTCTTTTGATTTTTGCAGAAGTTGAAACCTAAGCTGACAATATTCTGCTGCACGTTTATTAATTTGAGTCCAACAACTGTGTATGTGCTTTACACAGGACACAGCCACATAGTGTGAAAGGCATGAGTTAACAAGCTATGAAGCTCATTGATGATGGGTTGTTATTCTAACATTTCTTTAAGGTATACACTGTTCGGAAAAGTGACACAAAGGGTGCTTATTGACACTGTATACTGTACACTGTGCACGTGTTTCACGTATTCAATGACTCATAGAACAAAGAATGTGATCATAACATTTAAAGGAGAACACTAAAAAGAAAATTTCTTGAATGTTTCACACTACATGTGTTTTGTGAATATATTTACAAAGTGCATGTAGTTTGAAACCTGTTGATTGCTGGTTTGTTGTAAGAATGTCTCCATGCTCTGGAGTGAGTTAAAGGGTTAGGGTCAATGATTTAGCACTTTCTTGGCTTTCTGATTACCAGCTGGAAGGGCGCAACTCAGATACGTTTATAAAGTATGACAAATGAGGCATTCTATTAACCCCTAAAATGCTTCAGCAAACTAAAGCCCTGTAGTGCTTTAGAGTGTGCCTTTATTATTTTGCATTACTATTCGTTTGGAGTTGTATCCCAGTTGGCAGTCCCCAAACCTCAATGTGTAGTTTGATAGCGCTGTGTAGATAGCGCTGAAGAAAAAAAACACAGCAAACTATGAATTTACAAGCTACTGGGTGCGCCGGGTAAATATACTCAGAATATTAATTTTAATGAATCCCCGATGCTTTTATTTATGCATGGATCTGTCTCCTGCACAATTGTTTATGCCCACTGTCTGTGGAGGTACATGACTGGTAAAGGGACTGGGATATTTGATAGCAGCACCATCATTGAGGATTCACAATTATTTTGTTGTGATATACTGCATACTTTTTTTTTTATCAACATACTTTTAGTTTTTTCCTTTAAAATGCAACAGATGTGTGTGAATTAGTTTCTCTAAACTGTGATTACATTAATACATTTTTTTAGTTTTTTTTTTTTGTAAGTATTTTACGTTGCACTTCTTGGTGGCTGCAGTGCAATATTCAGTACTGTACAATATTTCTGGTCTCATCAAAGAAGAAGAATTTAGCTTTTTTTTTTTTCACTGTGTTGGCTCTATTGTGTTCCTTATCCGATGGCAAGCAGTACGCAGCAGTGTAATCATTTTTTAATGTAAGTAGCCATTTTAGAACATTCTTTTCATACAAGAGCAGCATATTGCAGACATTTTTATTAACACTATAAAATAGACACATGGGCAAAATGTGCACAGATAAATCCATTCTTTTTGTCGCTGGTCTGAACAGATTGTGGTCTGTAATGAAAAGGGAAATGAAAATGGAAAAAATATTGAATGAACAGCAGGGCCTATTTGATGTGATTATGAAGAATGTTTCTTTATTCCGTCTTTTCTGCTGCAATCTGAAAACAGTAGCAGGGGGTTACAAGCAGACTTCATCGTATGACTGTCAATCACTGTCATTTAACATTTGCAACGGGTGGCATCTTTATGCTAGGCTGGCCGGTCAATTCAGAGGAACAGATTTGTAGTTAGTAGTCTGTCCAGCCTGCACTAAACAAACAGGGACAGGGCTTCTCACACTAACATCTCACATAAGAACATAATGGACTCTGGTGACCTTACAACCCTCCATTCATCTCCTCTTCTAGCTGAATCAAAGCCTCCATGCCATTCTCTATTTCCTTTAATTACTGCCTAGATGAAGATAAGACGTTTAAAAATGTACACTTAACAATCCCAAACAGGAAATTAAGCCAGTGACTTGTTTCATTTTAGTCATATAATGTTAATGAATTTAAAGGTGGCAGGAGAAAGTGTCAGAATGTATTTTCAAAGCATTTATAGAATCTTTGGCTGTATTTCCACTCTTAAAACAATCATTTTTGGATTTGGGAAAAATGATTAGCTCTACTTTGTCTGCTATTGCATCATTAATGTTCTAAACCGAATCTTTTCCATTTAAATTGGGCTTCACTGACAATATAGAAAAACAAAGTTATAAGCCACATGGAAAAGAGCAGAAGAAAGTGGTGACAAAATATGGTTTTTCCTTTATTCTCTGTTTTAAGAAGCATTGATTAATGAGTAAATGTAGAAAAATTTACTATTTCAGTCGTTGCATGCCCTTTCCATTCCAAATGAGTTTTATATTAATACAGGATGTTTTGAAACACGTTTAAACTGTATTGATAGGTACATGGAATAGAAAAGAAAAATAGGTTTGATCTGTAGAACAATATATTTGTATTTTTGTTTTATGGTAAGGACATTTATAGCCTTGAATGTCTTTGTCTTTCATTTAAAAAGGTGTATGTCTTTGTCTTTGATTTAATATTTTGATCCAACAGAGGTAATTCTTAAAACCAAGGTTCTGATATATTTTCTGTGTAGCCCACAAAGTAAATTGACTTGTAAATACCAAGTGAAGTCTACACCATCAGTACATAATTCTATCACTCAAAGTTTAATTTATTAATGCTATCAGTGCACCTGACTTATTTTTTCTGATATGTACCTAAGACAGGTGAAATAGTCAATGTTCTACACTGCCCAAAGCTTGTGTGATCATGTTAAATTAACTTTTTTAGATGACCAAACCATATTTGCCTTTCTCTTTTCTGTGAGATGGGATAGCAGTTCATGATGATACATATTTAAGGGTGTGTAAGTATGTAAATGTTTATTGAGAACGATCATTTATAATCTACTCTTTTTAAGGATGCTGAAGAATATGCAGAACTCCCAGTCCGGCACAATGAGGACCAGATGAACAGTGAGTTAGCCAAAACCCTTCCTATTGAAGTCAATCCTCATTCAATGGACAGTGCACACACAAAGGCACATCTACTACTACAAGCCCACTTTTCTAGGGCTGTGTTACCCTGTCCTGATTATGGTACGGATACCAAAACCGTGTTGGATCAAGCCATCAGAATATGTCAGGTATTTATACTTTTGTATTATAATATTTACATTCTGCAGCATACACTCTATTAAAATACATAGAAGCAATAGTATGTGTTTAGGGGGATAGGGTTTGCAGACTGGTTTTGGAGGGCATAGGGGCTGGAGACAGAGGCTGTTGTGTGTGTTGAGGGGGAAATAGGGGCTGTTGTGTGTGTTGTGGGAGACAGGATGTAAATAGGACTATAGGAAGGCAGGGGTTGTTGTGTGTATTGAAGGGGATGGAGGCTGTTCCATTGAGGGGGAGGTAAAAAAAAAAAAAGATATATTAAATATCCCTCTTGCAATCCTTGGACCCAAGTTGCAGAGAACAGATCCCATGAGTTTCAGTGAGTGCATCCCCATATTTAGTATACATTTCGCCATGATGCGAGTGGGCATGTCTACTAAACATTGAGCAGTCTTGAAATGATACTTGCCTTTCTGAGCAGTCTGACTTACAAGCCAATCAATCAAAGCACTCGAAACTTGCAAAGCGTGGGCAAGTTCTTTCTGTGTGGGGCACTCCCTCCTTAATTTTTAATGCGTTGCTTTATTTATTTATTTATTTATTTTTCTTATTTCGAAAATAGTAGCATTGTTTGTTTTTTGGCCGTTTATGGAGCTGAAGATACGATTCCATAAGAAACTATTTGTCTGATGATATGGGGGGGATCTGCCCAATGTAGTGAGGAGAGACTAGCTTCAATTTTGGTGTGTCCACCCACCCTTCTGTGTTTAATAGGCCCCACCTGCCACCTATGGTTGGGCCAGGGGTGCACTATAGGTTTCTCCTTTAATATTGACCCCTATAAACTTTTTCATTATTTTCCCTCTGGGTGCTAGTGGGTAAGTAATCAAAAATAACATTTATTACTACTTGAATGTTGAATTCGATGAGGCTATTTATCGAGAGTTTCTGCCGGATAAACTTTCGAATTTTGAAACCGTAAGCTTTACTTTACATTTTCAATGTAAAGTAAAGCTTTCGGTTTCAAAATTCAAAAAGGATAATTACCAGCCCCCAATAAGCCTTTAACAGCAGTTATTGAATCGATCCGAACTATTAAATGGCTTATCGCCTGCCATATGATAGGGGGAGCACATCTTGTCCCTGATGCTCCATTTTGAGGAGCATTGGACTGGACATGAAGATGAAAAGTGAGTGTCACGGCATGCGTATCGGCCATCTGCAGATACTGGTTCTTGACACTTTAATAATAAGTTATACCCTTTTTTTTTATCCATTTCTTTTGTTATGGGGTGGTCCTGAATTTTATTGGTGAGGAGACCATTATAGCATCAGGAATAAAGGTTTGCATGCCTAACACCATAGTGTTGCATTAACCTTGGAAAAAAATGTTATAATAGTTAAAAAAATAGTTAAAAGTAAACAAATGTTAGCACTTGCATTAAAAACTTTTATTTATATAGAATCTGCATGTTTAACAATCCTATGCAGCAAGGGAACAAATATCAATGGCCCTCTTGAGGTGAAGCTGTTGTAGAGACTGAAACCTAGTAATAAATTTGAGTTGGGTGTCTAGATATTTTTTTATTAAGCTAAGTAATATTGTGCATTTTCAATGTGATCATGACAAATTTCGACAAAAGTAATATTAAGAATACAAAAGAACTGACTTTCATTACACAACATGAGGACCAGAACACTAAGGGTATCGCCACCAGAGATCAAAACGCATGTCATCTCAGCAAGCTAGCCTGCACACACAAATGTCGAGGATGTATCTGATGAGCAGCACAAAACACATTTAACAAAGCACATTTTATCGTAAACCACATGTCTGAATCTCTCCCCTCCCATTCTCAAGTTCAACACTACTGTAGACATGTCAGCTGAGCCTGCATCAGCTGGTTCTTAAAACACAAAAATTAGGTATTGTCAATTGTTTGTGAACTGCTAAACTATAAATGCACACTATCCGTATAATCATTGAATGCTTGTGTACTGTTATACTTACCTCAATAAAACAAAGAATTTAAAAAAAAAAAAAAAAATACAAAAGAACAAGAAGACATTTAGACATTTGGTTTTACCAAGAAACATTTTCCTTCTTTATTTATTTATTCTTAATTTTCTCGCGTTTTGAAATATTTCCTAAATGTTTTCATCCAAAGAATTTAAAATATCTGCTTATTGCTCAGTGCCACTGATTAATAACGGGTTGCCATGGAGACATTGATGCTTTGCACATCATAGCCAAGATCTGTGCCAGATAAGCACAGGGTAAAGTGAGTGTTTTAGTGACCCACTGTATGATATTGTCAGCTGCATAGAATATTTGGGAGGTGTGTAGAGTGAGTGGATACTGCTGTACTAGAGGAATTAATGCATTATAATATAGCTATGCTACTCAGCTAGGCAGTAGATCAAGAAGTAAAATGATTTTGAAAAGTTTTATTTATTTATCTTGATCCAAAAAGTACATGAGATGTACTAATAAACACTTTTTATTATTATATCAGTTATTAATTACTTTTCTTATAGAGCCAAGCTTGTTGTTATGTCACTATGGCAACATAGAGGATGATGACATATATCCTTAATAAATACCCAGGTGGAACTAATTTGTATATTGAGTTTTTATTTGGTGTAATACACATAAAGTGTGTACTCAAGCCTGTAAGTGCTGGTAGATTCTTAACCATGTTGTTCCTTGATGCTTTCCATTGCGTCTCATTACTGAAAAGGTTAATTAATGTGAAATCAAACTAGTGTTGTATTTAATCCAAGTTGTTGAAATACCTTGCAGGCAAAATGGGAAAGCTGTTTCCTATGTCAGCCTTTAAATTAGCGTTTACTTCTTGGATAGGAAGTCTAAACATGATGTGCTTTTGTGCAAAAGTAACTATTGAAATATAATTATTTGGAATTATAATAAGGAATATTTATCTGTCTATTATTTATATAAACACATGAAGAAACCACATTTCAGGTAAATATAACTGTCTTTATTGAAGAAGATTCAATGTCCCAGCAACACTTGCAGTTCACTCCCCCCAGCAGCAGGACTCCAAGCCACCCTCCTGGCACATAAGGTAAGCTAACAGAAGGGTGGCTGGAGATATAAAATAAAATCACTTGTCTGTGTATGTGTGTTAGTGTGTGTGTGTATGTGTGTAAGTGTTTGTATGTGTCAGGGGGCGCTTCTGTGTGCGTGCACACATCTGTGTATGTGCATCTGTGTGTCAGGTTGTGTGTTTTTATGTCAGTGTGTATCTGTGTCATGGTGTGGGCATGTATCAATGTTTGTGTGTGTCAGGGTGCATGTGTGTATATGTCGGTGTGTATGTGTGTGTGTGTATGTCTGTGTCTATATGAATTTGTGTGTGTGTCGGTGTATTTATATGCATCTGTGTGTTAATGTGCATGAATATCTGTGTAAGTATGTATGTATGTGCATACATCCAAGCAGTCTAACACCAGCACAACATACAAGCACACACTTCTGAAATCTAACACAAATAGTATATACAAACACACCTCTGCATTCAAAAATAAATATATAAATATACAAACACACATTTAAAAGTGAACATTACATTCAGACACACCCCTGCAATCAAACGCAAACATCACATACAAAGACACCCCTGTATTAAAACACAAATGTATACAAGCACCCCTTCAAACACCAACACTGTACATTACACTATAGCTCCAGTAAATGCGGCAGCGCTGTACAGATATACAACCTAGAAATTTTGACTTGGTGTGCCTTGGGAAAATACTGAAATATTAAGGGCACCTTGAACCTAAAACGTTTGGGAACCACTGGTCTACATCATTACATAGAAAAGTGAATGTATCATTTTATTTAGTAAAATAATGGGATTCTTTATAAAAGAAGTCATTAGAAACTGCACCACTAATCTATTTTTAAGTTGTAATTCCACCCTTTTCATTTGCCAACTACCAGAAAGCATGACATTTTTCATGATATATAGTCTTAAAAAGTTATATTTTTTATTTTAATCTCATCATACCTAATTTTTAATTTAGGATGCCAGCCTTATGTCACAGTTGAAGAAATAAAAGCTGCAGCTGTCTTTGTAGTAAAGAGTTCCTAATTAACACTACATTAAAGGATCACTATAAGGTCAGGAACACAAACCTGTATTCCTGACCCTATAGTGAAAACCAACCATTTAAGTGGCTTGCCCCCTCCCCCCTTAACCTCCTCAGAATGGGTTAAAACTCAAATTATTTCCAGCTCTCCACAGTCTGCCGGTGCAGGCCCCGGCCCCTTGGTGACATCATCAAAATTAACATTTTTTAGACAACTCAATGCTTTCCCATGGGGAAAGCATTGGATTGGCTAAAATTGGCAAGGGGGCAGGGCCAAACACCATTTTGGCCAATCAGCACCTCCTTATAGAGATGCATTGAATTAATGCATCTCTATGAGGAAAATTCAGAGCAGAGCGTAGGGACGTTGAACGGCAGGGCTGCCTATTGTGCAGCCCTGTGCCAGGAAGCCTCTCCAGTGGCCATCTAAGGAGTGGCCATTTGGAGGTGTCCCTAGGGTTAATGAAAACACTGCCTTTTCTCAGAAAAGGCAATGTTTGCATAGAAATGCCTGAAGGGAGCTATTATACTCACCAGAACAACTACATTAAGCTGTAGTTGTTCTGGTGACTATAGTGTCCCTTTAACCCCTCTATGGGTTTATTGACATATCTATAAGGGTTTGAGTTTGTAAATTTGACCAAAAATACCCAATAATTCCGTAAACAACTAAAACAGACGCCCCACTTTAGACTTCTATTTACATCATCTGAAGCAAATAGTTTTTTTTCCTGTATGAAATGAAAATTGGAAAGGTAAAAGACATTAGCAAAACATCTCCAATGCCACTAGAGATAGCATTATTGGTAAATACAAATAACTACAACTAGACCTGTATCTTGTTAAAAGCTGTCAGGGTCCTTAGAGTTGCAAACGTGTAAGCATTGCACACAATCCAGGAAAGCTTAGTAACACATTTGAAAAAGCATCCACAGCTTGCCAAGCAAAGGAATTCATCATGTTACATTTTAAGTTACTCCAACTAGCTTCCTAATTTCCTAATTTTTTCTCGTAATAATCTTATTATGTGTATATCTGTACGTCATCCCCCTCCCATTTTTGTCTGTATACCCTATAAAAATTATTTAACCCCTTCAGGACCGGACTATTTTGGCCATGTTCTACGTTAAGGTCCAGAGCTCTTTTAACACTTTTGTGGTGTTTGTGTTTAGCTGTAAATTTTTATCTCTCTCATTTACTGTTCCAATACAAATTATATATAAAAGGCTTTATTTACATACCATTGTTTGTATCATGTCATATAACTTACTTTAAAAAATAAAATATGGTGAAAAATTGAAAAAACAAAACATGTTTTTTAACTTTTACTTAAAAAATCTTTTACTTATCTACAAAAGCTAATGAAAAAAACTGCTATTCATACTTTGATGTTTATCTTATGATGAAACAACTATTACTGTTTAATACTTGTTTAATCTTCAAAATTATAATAAAAAATGAAATTGAAAAAAAAAGTTAGAATAAAATTTCTCATATATATATATATTTTTTAATGTTTTATTATTTTTAGGTTTATTAATTTATTTTAATTTACTTTTTATTTGTCTTTTTTAATATATATATATATATTTATTATATATATGTGTGTAATTTAATTATACGTGTATTTTTATATTAATATATGTATATATTATAAAAATACACTTAGTATGACATATATATAATTAATAGACATATTATATAAATATAATATATGTCTAGATATCATGTATGTGTGTTTTCATTCATTAACTATATATATATATATATATATATATATTTCATTTTAGACATGCAGGGAGACTGCTTGTCAGTTCAGGCAGTCCCCCTGCAGGCAGATACTTGGACGCCTATTGCGGCCATGTGACCGCTCTGTTAGAGCGATCACATGGCCGCGGGGTCCTAATTCGCCAAGGGAA